AGGGCCTCCATGTGATATCCACACCTTGTTGTTGTTTAACAGGATTCCTTTGTGGTGATGGGCACTGTTTGATTGCCCACGAAAGAGGTAGGGATGTGCTAACGTGAAATTCTCAGATTTGGTAGATTGACTATACTGAGCAGAGGATATTGGAGAAACTGTAGCTGCAGAGGGTCATCCCTATCTGGTCTGCCATGGAGACTCTCTCATCTTCAGGGAGGAAGGGTACTTTCCCCAAACCACAGTGAGAGGAGTCTTTAGTGTCAGGACTGAGAATCCATTACAGTGGGTCTGAATGAAAAAACTTCTTCCTCCACTAGCTTCATACCCCCCAGACTTTGCCTAGTGATTTCCCTGGAATTTACACCCCTAAACTCTGAATCCCTCTGTCCTGTTGTATCTACACAAATTCATCATCTTTGTCTTAAAGGTATGAAAGCATCTTCCTTGGCCATTTCACTGTCTCTTCATCCTCTTTTGAGGGTCTCGTTTTTAAGTGCAATTAATAAAATGTGGATGGTTGGGTTGGGGTTGTGTCTCGGTGGTAGAGCATTTGTCTAACATGTGTGAGGCCCTGGGATCCATCCCCAGATCCATAAAAAAAATGAGAAATAAAACTTGAAACTTGGATGCTTTTCTCTTGTTAATCTTCCCTGTGTTCATTTGGTTCCCAGGCCCACCTGGAAAACTCATTTTTTTTCTTTCAGTGCTGGGGATTGAACCCAAGTCTCAGGCATGCAAGGCAACTGCTCTACAACTAAGCTGCACCTCCAACCCAACAACTTCACTTTAGATTGTCAACCTATAAAGGTCATTACTAGTTCACCAGAAATGTCATTCACCAGCTGAAGGACATTGGTCTTGGTTCTTGGTTTTGGTGAGTACAAATAAATCTATAAACATCCACTTACAAGTTTTTGTGTGACTGTAAGTTGCCATTTCTCTTGAATTACACCTAGTTGTGGAATGGTTGTGGAAGTATATGTTTGACTTTATTAAGAAACTGCTGGCCAGAGGAGTAGCTCGGTAGTAGTATATATGGTTAGCATGTGCAAGGCCCTGGATTCAATCCCCAACACACACACACACACACACACACACACACACACACACACACACAAAATGAATGAAAGAAAGAAAGGAAGAAGGAAAAAGAGAGAGAGAGAGGTAAAAGAAACTGCCAAACTGACTTCTGTGGTAGCTATGCCACTTTTTGGCATCTTAAAATGCCCAGAGATGCCATCATTTTGCCAAGTCTGGTTCTCCACCCCCCCCAGCTCCTCACACCACTCTCAGCAGGCAGCCTGGGTGCTTATGGGCCCCTCAGACAACCTGAGAGCAGCCCCAGCCCCAGCCAGCCCTCCTCCCAGCCTGATCACCAGATCTGTGTGGTACAGCTGCACTGCTCTTCCATCTACTCCCTAAACCTATGGCACACAAGCCAGGGCTGCCCTGTCTGGCGTGCTTGGCTCCCAGACAGCCTCAATGGCAGCTTGCACTTGAACAGCCCCTCTGTATGTACAGTTGTACTGTTTCTTCTTCATTTCTTCACATATTACTGTGTGATCATCAGCCCCATTTCACAGAGAAAACTGAGGCATAGTGAAGCTGGGGCAAGAGTTGGGAAGAGGTGGAGCCAGGCTCACACTCAGGGAGTCAGTCTTTAGAGGGCTTGGATGCATTCTCTGGTGGCTTCAGGGTCAGTGTGAAGGTTGCCTTCCCCAAGGGTCCCTCCAGCCACTCTGGCTCTCTGCCATCTCCTTGCTTTGCAGCATCCATGGTATTCGTCACTTCTGGGGACCGTGTGGGGGACATGCCCCCTAAATACCACTGAAGGAAAGACCTGCCCTCCTCTCTCTGCCTCCAAACAGCAGTTGGGGTTGATGAGCACCTAGACTTTCCTGGTGCTCCGTGGGGCCACCTGGACCGGTAGGCAGAGGAAGTTGTTTGCCTCTGCCTCCCAGAATATGCCAGCACTCTGGGAGACTGAGGCAGAAAGATTGCAAGTGAGAGCCCAGCCAGTGTAACTTTGCCACTTAGTGAACCCTGTCTCAAAATAAAAAGGGCTGAGGATCTAGCTCAGTGCAGAGGCACTAGTTCAATCCCCAGTACCAAGAAGAAAAGAAAGAGGGAGAGGAAGACAGGAGAGGGGGAGGGGGAAAGGAAAAGGTGGGATGGAGGGAAGGAGGGAGAGAGAGAGAGAGAGGGAGGAGAGAGGAGGAGGAGGAGAAGGAGAAAAAGAAGAGGAGGAGGAAGGAGAAGGGGAGGAGGAGAAGAAGAAGAAAAGGAAGGAAGGAGAAATGAAATGAGCACAACCCTACAACCCCTATGATCTGACGGGCTCAGAGTTAAGGAACAAAGCTCAGGGGCAGATGCAATGGATGTGAAGCACTGCAGCCTGATGGTGCCAGCCTCCCGGGAGTCCGCCTCCCTCACAGATGGAGGTAACTGGTGGAACCATCAGTGTCTGTGATTCTGTCATCCACCTAGCAGGATGCATTTCCTCCCCCCATGACATTGTTGGGACACTCTGAGCTCTGCCCTGAAGGAGGCCGAGATCAGGGCGATGGGCCCTGCCAGTCAGTGGGTCAGTGAACAAATGCAGCTATTCATAGATCACAATTGTATTCATTCATCTTATGGTAGCTGCCTTTCAATAAAGTGAGTTTCCTTTGAAATCTCATGTATTTTATTTCAAAATGTTACTCTGGCACATGGCATTTTAAAGCCCTGGACTGTGGACCCCTAATCCCCAGCTAGGATTTTCCAGGGAGCCACTCCTCAGCACCTTGGGCTGCCAGCTTTCAGGGGAGGCCTCCTGGATGTCCTGTGGGTCCTGCTGCTCACTGCTCCCTGCTTCTGATCACCATGGTCACCACTAACCCATCCTCTGTAGGCCCTAGACCCTTCCCAGGGACAGGAAAACATATATGACCTCTAACCTCCTGAGATTCTTTTATGTCTTGCTGAAGCAGATGAGGATTTATTGAGCACCTACTGGATACGAGGGGCTTGCTCTTCTGTATGGACACAGCCATTAACAAGGAAGAATAAAAGTTTCTGATCTTGAGGGAATGACATTCCAGAGAGGGCAATGCAGCCATGCTGTTGTGATGGCTTGGGAAAGTGTAGTAGAAGGTCAATCCCTGCACAGTATTCAAGGGGCCCAGTGTGATAGCCATGGGGCTCACACAGTATCCATGGGATCAAAGGAATAAGGACTTGCTGTTATCATTTTGAGAAGGAGAATCCCATCCAGCCCTCTTCCATTGGACAGGGAAAGCCTAGACCAAAGCAAGAAGTTACATTTGCTAAGAATCAAGGGGAAAGTGTTGGGCAGCAGAAGCAGCTCATGCAGAGGTCCTAGTATGGAGGTCAATGTGGAGTTCAAGAAACTAAAGGGAGGCCGAGAGACTGAGCAGAGGGGCAGGAGGAAAGGAGAGCTGAACAGGGTGAGGGGCCCTGGATGGGGCAGGGAAGAGGTGGGGGAACACAACGGGAGTCTTATATTCAGTGTGGTGGGAAGCCTGTGAGGGTTTCAGGCAGGGGCCTACACAGACTTGATTCTGATTTTAAGACTTTTCTGTTGCTGGGAGGAGAGTGGACTGTAAATGGATAGGCTGAGTCCTTGCAGGCCACCAGTTGCCAGAGAGCAGGTGGGCAGTTTGGACCTGGCCCCTCGAGGCTGTGGAAATACCCATGCATGAGTCCCAGGAATCATGGGGTTTCCTGTTGGAGACGGACTTCCAGATGAACACAGGGGCAAGTGCTGGTGGGCCCTGGCTGGGCTGTCCCCATGCCGGCAGTACTCTTAACTCAGCCCAGCCACAGATAGGCAGAATCCCCAAGGGGTCAAGTGGTCCAGGGAATAGGGTATCTGCATCAACCAATCTGACTCAAAGGGGTCTGGGAGCATGAGGCCTGGCTTGACCCCAGTTTGGTTAACTCTCTCCTCCTGTGACCCCATGCAAGTCCATAAAGTCCCTGAACCAACTGTTTTCTAAAACAAGGTAACAGTGTCCCCAGGCCTGCCTAAAGGGGATGTCCAGGATCAACCTCCCAGATCTCAAGACGCAAGTCATTGATTCAGTGAGGTTGGATTCCCCTCCTCACTGGACCCTACCCACCCCACTTACATCCATCTGAAAGCAGATTCTGAGTTGGGCTTGTTTCATCTCTGAGGAAGCAGGAAGTGCATGGAAACAGGCCATCACCTGGGAATGACCTAGAGCTTCTTATCTGGTCACAGGGAATCATCTAAATCTGCAGAATGAGGGCCCTCCTTGGGGCCTTTCACTGGGGCAGAAGGGTGGAAGACTCTCCATTCTTGGAAGCAGTTTGGGCAAAAGAAGGGGTTCTCTCCCAAAGGCCTTGGCCATGGAGATCACAGAGTCTAAGCCCTTGAACACAAAGTCTAATTTGCCAAAAATGTGCCATGGGCCCTTGTTTGCCTTCCATCCTCCACTGCCAGCTGCACCTTGGCTTCATGGGGCCATCTGAGCAGAGGTGACACCAGCGTGTCCTCCGCCTGCTTCAGGCTGGAGTGGGACAACCTGGGTCCCCACCACTTTCTTTTCGTTTCTTACAGTGGGAACAGGGCTGCCCTTCTTGAGGCTTACCTCCCCCATCTAAAGGAGCCGTGAGAGGGTCTGCTGCCCTAGGCACACCCATGCACCTGCCAGGGGCTCTGTACATCTCTGTGGAAAGGAGGAAGGGCAGGGAGGTTCAGGGCAGGGAGAACAAAGCTGCTGCCAGGGGGTGTGACATCTGTGGAAATGAGAGCACAGGTGGCCAGGAAGATCTCCTGGGGTCTGCAAGGAGGCTGAGTTCTGATCCTTCATCAAGATGCTGCTCCCGTGTCCCACTCCCACCCCAGAGATGGACCCCAGGGAGCCCCATAGCCAGCACACAGGGGCTCGGGAAGCCATGATTGCCTGGAACACTGTGCAGCCAGGCAAGGGATGGTCAGACACATATCTCAACACAATGGCACTCAAAGAGATCAAAATGCATTTAATGTGGTCTAGTCTCATCGCCTACATCTTTAGATACTGCTACGTATTGAAAATAACATGAAAATTCTCCGGTTTCACCATTTAAAATAGATTTGACATTCTATGACCTCACACAAGGCAGACACCCCACACAGGGGCCTCTCAAAGGTGGCTCCTTCCGCCCCACCCTCAGGCCCCTTGGGTGGGTGGGGACTGAGCAGCACAGCACCAGCAGAGGTTGGGGGACAGCCACAGTGCTCTGAGCAGCACAGACACACCGCCCCCCTGACACGTGCACACACACTGCAAGACCACACACATCCACACATCCATACATACATGTGTCCACTCAGACAGACATACTATGGCCGCCAACACATGATCCAGGTGCAGATGCTCATTTTCAGATGCCTCACATTGGCCCTGACTGGATAATCAGGGCAGAGGACTGGGAGCTATCAAGTTAGTCAGTGGTCAGTGCCAAAGTCTGAGGGCAGTGTCCAGTCTGACCAGTGTGCACCCTGCCTTGGCCTGGTGTTTGTTAAACCAGATCCCCATGGGGAAAATATGCATAAACACATACACACACACACACACACACACACACACACACACACCCCTGGACGTATCAAGTATTCACATCACCAACTCAGTGTCACCAATGTGGAGTCATGTGTGCACACACATATATGCACATGTGTGTACACACCCCTCCCCTCCCCACACATGCCCCAGGGGCCAAGTCTCCCTTGCTCCTGCATGCACTCAAGGCTCCCATACCTGTCCTCACACATCAAGTGCACTATAAGGGGAACTATTTTGGTCTTTAGCACAAGTAAGCAATAAATAAATAAATAAATAAATAAATAAATAAATAAATAAATGGATGGATGGATGGATGGAATAAAAGAGGACAGAAGAATTTGAAAAAGCAGCATGTGCCTGCCTTTGGCGAGAGATGAAAGGCAGCTCAGACTGCCCTCCCTCGAGCTCTGGGGCTGGGTCATTCTGGTGGATGTGGACATGAGAGGACAGGCCTGAGAGGCAAATGCACCAGGCCACTAAAGTGGTGGGACCTGGGGCCCCGGATCTGCTTGAGATGCAGAAAGTAGAAAGCTTACCCATGCAAGCCTGGAAGGACAGCAGGGCACAGGGCACCATCCAGTATCTACTGACTGGGGCCACCCTTCCCTCACTTGGTAATCTGGGCTGGATGGCGGAGAACTAAGCACTCCCATGCCAATGCATCCCCAGAACATGAAGGCTAAAGCTGGGAAAGCCAGTCAAACTTGAGAGCCAAGGGCCAGATCCAGGAGCCCAGAGGAGCTGAGGTCCCTCTGGCAGATCCTGAGAGGAAAGAGCTGCCTGGGGCTAAACCTTCTAGGCCAAAAATCTTCAGGCTGGGTCTGATGCAGGGCAGGGTGACTGGAGTCTGGCCTAGCTCAGGGTGAGGGGCTGAGCTGTGTCTGAGCCCTGTCTCAGGCACCTTTCAGAGAAACGGTAGCCTGTATATAAACTTCGCATGGGCAGGGAGGAAGAGCAAAGAGGCAGGAGCCCCACCCCAGGCCTCAGACTCTCCCCAACTCCCTGCCCACTCACTGTGTGACCTTGTGTGACCCTTCCCACTCTCAGCCTCAGTTTCCCCACTTAGACCATAGAGTTCCTGGTGTCTTCTTGACCCGAGATTAGGGGCAAGCTGCCTAGGAAAGCAGGCAGGAGTCACGAACTTCCTCATTACTGCCCTCCTGAGGGCCTTTCCCAGGGAAGACAAGTTTCCTCAGCAGCCTCAGGAAAGGCTAGGCTCCTCCCAGGCCTGGCCCCATAAGCTGCTAAGAATAAGGCAGAGCCAATTCAATCATGACAAGGGGCCTCACATCTCTTCCTGATCAAGGTACCTGGAGTCGGGCCTGTCCAGGGCAAGGGGACTGAGGTATCTCTGGGGCCTAACACTGCATCTTGCAGGGAAGTGATTGCCAGCATCTGGATCCTCTGTGGGCCCTGTCCTCAGGGAAAGCAAGGAAGGAAGCGGAAGGAGTGCCCCACTCCCCAGGCCCCTGAAGCCTGAGCAGGAATTCTTTGTTCCCTGGCCACTTTTTCAATTAAGCTTTGAATGAATGTGACCCCGGGTCATGGTGGGGGGTGGGGTGATAATTCCTCTACTTCCCTAAATTCTTTCCTCTGCCCTTCAGAAGCAGACCCCAAAATGGCTGGGCCCCTCCTGGGCTAGCCTGTATTGCCTGAGGTATGTAGGGGAGGAGGGCAGGCAGGAGTGCGCCAGGAGACACAGTCACTGCCACCTTCCCAGGGCAGATGGAGGGGGTAGGGGAGGGGACAGGCATGTCCAATAAAAACAGAAACAACTCAAGTCGAACAACCTGAAGTCTCTTAAGGCACAATTCCCGCTGCGGGCCCAGTGGGAGGGCTGATCCATTTCCACTGGGTGAGGGAGCCCCACCTCCCTTTCCCCTTCCCAAGGAGCCTCCCATGTTTCCCAGCTGCCCTTCATCTGCAAGGGGTGCAGGCCCTGGCAGAAGTGGAGAGAGAGGCAAAACATGGGCGTGGAGGCAGAGACCCTTGAGGGCAGGTCCCATCCAGCCCTGAGACCACCTCTGAGGTACAACATCAAACTCAAAAAGAGCAAACCAGTTTCTTCCCCAACCCCATCCCAATAGCATCAGAAAGCTTTTATTATGATCATTAACATGGTCTTGGTTCTTCTGTCACAAACAGAACCTAATTCACCCCTAAGCGTGATGAACTGTGGGGGCTCTAGCACACATGGGGGAGAGGTCAGTCCAGCCTCAGGAACCCTGGAACACGTGTCCATCTAGCCGCTTTCATTGCGGCAGACCAATGGGATTCTTATTGTCCTTCCCCCACAACCCCATGAATTAAAAATGTTTTTTCAATTGCATGTTGTTATTATTATTATTATTATTATTTTTGTAAACAGTCTTACCCAAGCTAAGGTTGAGAAAGCTGAAATCTGGTGTTTCTCCCCAAGTTAAAAACCACAGAAGTGCCTGTAGCCTGCCAGACTGTAACTGCAAAGGTGGACCACTGCAAGGTGACTCTGTGCAGGCTGTAGCTCCTTCTCCAGGCAGAAGCCCCTGGCTCCTGTGGCTGGACCCCCAGGAGGCCACTTTCCTGACTCTGTGCCACCTCAGCTTCTGAGGCCATGGGCTGCCCTCTCTGGTCACCCGCTGTCCCGCTAACTTTCCAAGGCTATTGTGAAGAAACATAAAACGACTAAAACGCTACTGAGTCTGCAACCCAGGGCACCTGGCCCACTCTGCTTAAACCCAGTGCCCCTGAGGGACACTAGGCCACTCCCCGGTGGGATGAACCCTGCACTAGGGCACCAGCGGCTCAGATCTCTGACTCTCGCCTGTAGGGTCGCTGCTCAAGGGCTCCACCACCAGCCTGGCGTCTGTCAAAGTCATGCCGAGGCTGGGGACTGAGGCCCTCTCGACTGCAGCCATCCTGGTCTCCCTCTGGCTCGTCCTCCTCGTCACGGCTCAGGAAGGCCAGCTCGTTCTCATAGCAGAAGGAGTTGGCACTGGGCAGGAGGAACTTGTTCTCCACCAGGTCCTTGGCGCTGCAGCGGGGCGTAGAGGGCACCTCATATGTCTTGTGGAAGTGTGAGTAATCGATCTTGTACTGATTCTTCTCCTCAAAGAGCACTGGCTCGAAACGGTGGCCCCATAGGATCTCATTGGCCAGGTAGGAGCTGCGGGCCTGTGTGGTCATGGCCGTTGCCTCTACCATGCCCTCAAGAATCACCACAATCTCAAAGTCGTCCGTCTCCAAGTCCTGCCGGCTGATGCCAAACAGGGGGCTAGCCTCGTCAATCTCGTGCAGGATGGTGATGGGTGACACCAGGAAGATGCGGTCCAGGCCCTTGTCGAAGCCCACGTCAATGTCTATCTGGTCCAGTGGGATGTACTCGCCCTCCTCTGTGACCCGAGGCTTGATGAGCTGAGCCCGGACATGGGCCTCCACGATGTGGCTCTTGCGCAGGTTACCCACGCGCCACATAAGACACAGCTTGCCGTCGCGCAGCGCCACCACAGCATTGTGGCTGAACAGCAGGGTCTGCGCTCGCTTCTTGGGCCGTGCCATCTTGGCCATGATGGCACCGATCATGAAGGAGTCAATGATGCAGCCCACAATGGACTGAGCCACCACCATGAAGACAGCCACTGGGCACTCCTCAGTCACACAGCGCAGCCCATAGCCAATAGTAGTCTGCGTCTCAATGGAGAAGAGGAAGGCTGCCATGAAGCCGTGGACCTGCATCACACAGGGGGTGCGGCCACGACCCTCAGCTGGCTCCAGGTCACCATGGGCCACAGCGATGACCCAGAAGATGACACCAAACAATAGCCAGGAGGCAAGAAAGGCCAGTGAAAAGATGAGCAACATGTAGCGCCAGCGTATGTCCACGCAGGTGGTAAACATGTCGGCCAGGTAGCGCTGTGACTTCTCGTCCATGTTAGTGAACTCAATGTTACACTGCCCATTCTTCTTGACAAAGCGGTTGCGGCACCGGCGCCTAGTGTGGACCTTGCCATTACCAAAGCCATTGGCGCCTGACATGGTGACCAAGTGCAGCCCGTCCTCCTCTGATGACACGATGCTGTAGGGGTTGGCCCTACTGGCTGCAGTCATCCCGGGGGCCAGAGGGCCCTGACCTGGCCCTAGGCTGGCTCCAGGCAGGGAGGCTCCTGCAACAGAGAGAACAGGGGTCTGCTAAGCAGAGTAGATGGCCTCTCCTCTGTCCCCACCAGTGCCCATGGCCATGACCAGCAGATCTTGCAATCCCCATTTACCCTCCACCCAGATGTCTTTCCCCCACCCCATACCCACTCATCTTGGAAAGTGGCCTCGTAGCAGCTCAGGTCAGAAGCCTCAAATTCACCCCAACTCCTCTGACTCCCATACTCAGGGCTCTGTTTCAGAATATGTTCAGGATATAACCCCTTCTCCCACTCTCATAGCCTGAGTCCCTGTCACTGCTCACCTAGACCGGAGGCCTCCTTGGCAACCTCCCTGCGTGCACCCCAACCCCTCAATCCCTGCAGCAGTCTCAATCAGATCCTATTCCCTTCTCTGTTCAGAGCCAGTGGACCTCTGGGACCTGCAGGACCTGCACAGGTGGGCCCTATGACCCTCCGACGTCACCTTGAGCCCCCCTTGCCTTGCTGGACACCCTTCTACTCCACATCCTCCTGCCACCCACTACTTTGCCACCCTCAGACTGTGGCTCGAATGTGCCATCCCCAGAGGCCGCTCTGTGCCTGAATACTGCCCATCCCAACCTGCAGTCACTCCACAGCATTGAGCTGCCAGTGGACTAATAGCAGTGACAGCTATGATGATGCAGGCGGTTGCATGGTGAGAGTGCCAGCCCAGAGAGCAGGCCTTTCCTCTTCTGCTCATTGCTTGCTGTCTCGCCTCCAGGGCAGGACAGGGCCTGCCAGCTTAGTCCCCCATCACCTCAGACACACCAAGTGAAGTCCCACCCACACTCCTGATATCATCACAGCTTGCCCGCTGTTCCTCCTCATGTACCACAGGTCATGCCTATGACCTCCTTGTCATTAGTGATGGAAGGGCGTGGCTCTAGAGTGGGGGCCCAATCAAGGGTCACTTAGGGTTTCCTCAATCTCAGCCCAGGGGCCTCTCTGATCCCTGCTTCTTTCATCTCTAGATGAGGACCACAGAGCCCCAGCCCCAGCACATAGGATCACTCAGAGTGTCACCTGCTCCCATCACTACCTTTGGCCCACTGGCGTATGGGCTGACTTGGCTCCACACATACTCATGCACACAGTCCTCCCAGTGCACCACAGCCAGTGGAACAAACCTTGCTCTCAGGCCGAACACCCAGCAGTATCCCTTCCCCCAAACCTCACAGGCTCCACACGGGCCAGAGGTGCCAGGCTGAGCTAGGGGTCACAGAACTGTCTGGTCCTATGGGTACTGACACCGTCAGGACTTCAGCCTGTCTGAGCTGGGTTAGGCTGGATGCTGGGGCAGAGCTGGGGCTCCCTACTATGGAAAAACCACTGAGGAGTTGGGCACATGCCTCCCTGCCATGGGGACCTCACACACCCTCAATTCTCACCCATCATACCACAAGGTCAGGGGCAGACAGAGTCTCAGGGCCCTGATCATCTCCACCACATTACCAAGAAGAAACACTGAGGCCTCCCAGGAGATGGTCCCGGGGTAGCCAGGAATGCACCATGGGTTGGGCACCCTGCAGAGCTGCTGCAAACCTCTCAGGCCCTCCAGGGAGCAGTGGGCCACCCCATTTTGCAGACAAGGACCTGGAGACTCAGCAACTGGAAGAGATTTGCCTGAGACCCTGGGCAGGAGGTGGCAAGACCAGGATTCAGCTCCATCTGTGCAGCACAGCTCCTGGCCAAGTCTACGGGTGCCAGGGTCTTAGTGGGGAAATGACCTCAAACCTCTGCTCCCAACACCAGATAACAGTGAGACCATATGACCAGCCATATCAGGAAGCACTCCAGGTGAGAGTCCATCACTGTGCTGTGAGGCCACAGTCTAGCAGGTACATGTATTCCTAGCTACAGAGGCCTGAGAACCACAGGAAGAGCCAGACACAGCCACTGCCCTCAGATCACCTCTAGCAACCCACAGTCATCGTCACTTCTACTCTCTGAATGAGGATTCAGAGAAGTTATGGGCTCTCCACCTCCACCAAGCCACATAGCTAAAAACAGCAGGAAAGCTAAGATCCAAACCACTTGTGTCTAATGTAGTCTCCCTCCAGAGACCTCTAGCTCCACAGAGACACCTGTCCCCACTCTGCTGTTGTCCCCCCACAGATGCTCCAGCTGACCACCTCACCATGGGTCTGAGGAGCTGAGACCTGATGCTGTAATGGCACCCGCTGCTTCTGCCTGGGCCAGGAAGCAGGAAGCTGGCAGGGCTGGGGACTGCGCTGGGAACATGATTCAGCCCCAGATTCTGGGGCCTCCCAGGGGCAGGTGGCCAGGGTCGGGGCACTCAGGTGCCAGTGAGAGGCTGTCAGATCCCAGGGTATGGGTTTTCGTGGCCTAGAGGCCTGGAGGGTCATCCAGCGGGTCATAGCTGCTTCAGCTTGTGCTACCAGCAGCTCAAAGCCTGCAGAGAACAGAATCATGAGAATCAAAGGCCTGGAGGCCTTGCCTCTGGCCAGCTACCAGTAGGCAAGGTGCTGCAATGACTCCTGGCATCTCCACCAGGGCTGGGCACTTGGCACCCACCTAGACAGTGACAGGCAGGCCCGGAAACTCCTACTTCTGTTGATGTTCCTCCTAAAACCACACAGAGAAAAATCAACAAGGTCAAGTTCACATCTGCTCCCCCATTTTCCAGAGCCAGAAACTGACCTGAAGCAAAGTCACTCATCCAAAATCACCCAAGAACTGAGTAGCAGAGACAGAGATACAGTCGCAGCCCAGAGCATCAGTCCTTGGCTTCTTACAACCCCACTCTATTGCGTGTGTGTGTGTGTGTGTGTGTGCGTGTGTGTGTGTGTGCATGCTAGTGTGTGTCAGACAGACAGACCACAGGGGTGTAGGAAGTCCCCTCCCTGAGCATTAGTTAAATGAACAAAAAGCCATAAAGAAGAACCAGAAGAGACTCTTAAGCAGAAACTCAGTACCACAGCCAAGCTTGCCCAATGTCCCAAGAACACTCCCACACAAACACAGGCATGGCAACAAGGTTACACAATTGTGTGGTCTTTAAGAGCTCATTTTAAGAAATGTAGGTCAGTCCCCTCAGCCAGAGATGTGCAGGCCTCTTTGGCTCTTGGCTCAATGGGATGCAAATGGTGAAATCAGATAAGAAAAGGAATCAGGGAATTTGTTTCACTGCAAGAGGCCTTAGCAAGCAAGGAGGCCAGCTCTGCATTTTATAGATGTGAAAACCAAAGCCAAGAGAAAGAGAGACTTGTCCCAGGCCAAGACAAGTTAGGACCACTCTGGGAGGGCCTAGGTGGCCAGTGAGGCTCACAGGCCTCACTGGAAGAGGGTTGCGATGCTGGGTACTACCTGAGCTGAACAGGACAGTTCCACACCGCGAGGGCTCAAAGCCAGCCCATCAGGCAGAGCTCGGAAGCGAAGAGATTGACCCAACCAGCAGAGGTGAAGTTGTCCCAGATCTGTAGCCTTGCCACCTGCTTCTTGACAGTCACAGTGCCTGCAAACGCAGCCCTCCATCGTCTGCCATGCTGGGCACACCAGCTGAGACTTGGCCTAGAGCTTATAGAGAGGACGCCACACCACAGCTGCCACCCAACCCAAGGGTGGGGCCTGAGAGTCACTGGGAGAGGCCTCCGGATGGAGCAGGACACCCCATGCCCAGTCGCTAAGGCTCTAGGCACCTCAGGTTTCTGTAACATCCGGGAGGCACCAAGACAGCCTGTGTTCACATTCCCAGTGCCAGGGAAGCACTGATGGGAGGGACAGGCTTGAGGCTCCTGGAAGGCAGCGTCAACAGAACCTCCAGAAAAGCCCCTGACTGCCTGGAACCTCAGAGTCATGAGCACAGTGGTCAAAATGTATAAACCACTTACCCCCTCCCAGATGCTCTTGTAAAAGTTCTAACAAATTCACTCACTTAATCCCTATAATAACACTGTGACTACCTTTTATCTCTACTTCCTAGTGAGGAAACTGAAACTCACAGAGGTCACCTTGGAAGAATAGAGCTTCCAATCTAGGGGTGGAGATGAAATAGCACCCTGTCATCACAGGCCCTGATGTGGTGCTATATTCATCTCGGTCCTGTAGACCCTGCATTTCCATTTGGGGACAAGGCATACAAACAAATTCACACCCATAAGCAGAGGTTTAGGGACTCCCACCAGCACTGATCTATGGCCACCTGTCTTGTTTTGGAACATCCAGGGGTAGAATACTTCCTGCCTCATGAAGATTCCTTAAAAATACTTCATGTAGGGAAGGCCAGTGGGTACCCTACATGCACTACCTTCTCCTCCTCCTCCTCCTCCTCTTCCTCTTCCTCTTCTTCCTCCCCCTCCACCTCAGGCCACCTCCTTCTACCACCTCAGGCCTGTGACAGATGTCACTAATCAATCATAGAACTTCCCACTGCATCCAGGATGACCCCAGAATCTTTCCTAATCCAGTCACTATCCATCAGGCTTAGCGTAAGAGGCTCCAAGAAGGCTCCCAGGCCTTCTTCATAGGAAATCAGGAGCCAGGCAGGTTGAGTGCACAGAGTTCTCTCTCATGGCAGGGCTTGTTCAGAGAGTGGAACCACAGTGGATCCAGGCTGGCAATGTGGGACAGTGAAGAGGGGTATTCCTGGTGGGGGAATGGCCAGATCCAGGAGCTAGAGGATAGCAAGGTGGCCGAGGCTGACTAGTGAGAGCCAAGCATGGCGTGGAGGAAGATGAAGAGTTGGTAGGAAGTTGACACTTCTGGAGGAAGATGATCTCTCATGCCCAACCACCTGTCCAGGCACTCCACTGAAAGATCCTCTGGCAGTCTTGGCCTTGCACTCACCCAAAGACTACAGACATTGGGGTCAGTGAGGTGCAGGCCTTCTGTGTTCAAGCCCATGAGGCCCAGGACAGAAATGGTCACCATGAGTCAGGATGTACTATGGCAAGGGGGTGGGCAGGGCAGCTCTTATATCCCTGAGCCCTCACCACTACAGGGGCCACTTGCTCTGACTCCAGTAGCCACCATCAGCGTCTTCTCGCTTGGAAACTTCCTCTGGCCCCTGAAGCACCCTCTGTGTGGGTACAGGGGAGCTGATGCCATCAGGAACAGGAGAAACACTCCAAATTTCTGACTGTGGATGGCAGGCCTCTGAGGGTCATGTCCCACTCGCCTGTCTGGCTGCCCAGCTTGATGGACTGCCAACTGCTCCTGTAGTAACTACTGTACATCAATAACACTCCTGGGCCTGGGGATTTAGCTCAGTGGCACCACGTCTGCCTGGCAAGCACAAGGTCCTGAATTCGATTCCTGTACCAAAAAATAAATAAACAATAAAACTACACTCCTTTGGCTGGCTCCTTCTATTCCTTGTCCCACTCCCTCACTGCCTTCTTGCATGTCCAGAGTTTACTTCCCACTCAAGTACTTGCACTGGGACCTTTGTTTGCTGGGGCCTCCAGTGGCCTCTGCTCCACAAAGGCTCCAAACCAGGGTCCCCTCCTCAGCACCCATAATACCATGGGGCAAATATGGCACCTCTTCTACAAGCCCTCTTCCTCCTCCTCCTCCTCCTCTTCTACCTCCTCTTCCTCCTCCTTCATGAAGTCTTTTTGGATTCTCTAGTCCTGAAATTTTTCTATTAGAGCCAGAAGCTACTTTCTACTTTGCACCCTGTCATAAGAGATGGTCTGCCTGACCCCATTTCTGATAGATCTCAGAGGCCAGAGAGGCTGGTGCAAACCTGGCATAGAGGAGGCCCAGAAAATGTTCCCAGCCCAAATGAAGAGGACAAGACACAAGCAGTGAATAGAGGGATGGATGAGGAGGTGATGGAACCATGAATGAGGAGACAGATATATACACAGGTGGGTGGTCGAGCAGATGGATAGATAAATCAGGCTGACAGGTGGGTGGGCTGACAGGATAGATAGCGCTGACCAAAGAGATGGATGGGTTAGGTGGGTGGAGGGGAGGGTGGGTGGATGGTTGAGCAGATGAATGGGAAAGGGAAATGAGTAATGAATGGATGGAGTGGGCGGCTGGATGGATTAGTGAGTGGATGAATGGATGGGTAGGTCAGTGGGTGGATGAATGGATGGGTGGATGGATGGGTGGATGAATGGGTGGGTGGGTGATAGGTAGATGCATGGCAGATGGAGCTACTGTAGGGATGGCAGGTGAATGAGAGGTCGGATAGGTGGGTGTGTGGGCAGAGGAAGAGATAGATGAGTGGGTGGATGGAGGCACCAATAACGTCTGGCAGATGGACACTGAGCAGCACAGGAACCTTAATCTTACCTCTCGAATCTATCCTCTAAGTTATGGTGCTGAGTGAGCAAATGACTGTCTTCAGGGCTGAATTAGCAGCAGCTGCCATTTTCCAGGGCCCAGCTGGGAAGGATCCAGTCACCTGTAGATCCTAAAATGAACAGAGCCAAGCCAAGTTACTGCACACATTTCTGCTCTCTCCAGAGAGACTCAGAGATCAGAACTTTTCACATGAAGACACATTTCTGCTCACTTCCCCCAAAGTCCCACGGGAGGTGGAGGAGGCCTCCAGCCTACATATCTGATGCCCCTACACTTTCACAGCATTCAAGCCCTGTCCAAGGCAACTATCTTGAGCCAGACAAAGGAAAAATAAGACGGGTCCTCAGAGAAAATATCAGCTGACAATTATTACTGCCTACTGCATGCCAGATACCATGGTAAATGTTTTACCACATCATCTCCTGTAATCCTCATAACTCCACAAGGTTGGAACTATTGCTATTCCATTCCAGAGAAGTAGATAAGGTGATTATCCTAGAGCAGTGACGGTGAACCTTTTAGAGCTTTCAATTATAACAAATAGCCTGCCATGGCACATGTGCCACAGGTTTGCCACCACTGTCCTAGAATCACAAGGGAACTCGGGTCCCCAGACTCTGCTCCTGGCTACCACCTGCCAAGCCTTCCCAATGCCATGCCTGGGACAGCTGGATAGATAAGTGTATGGGTGGATGTGTGAATGGTCAGATGGATAGATGCGGAGCTGGAGGACAGATAGGTGGGTGAGTGGATGAAGAATGGATGGATGAACAGATGATGGACAGGTGGATAGATGAACAGATAGGTGGATGTGTGAGTAGGTGGATGGATGGGTGCATAGATGGATAGATGGAGAGCTGCATGGATAGATGAATGAGTGGTTTAAAGACAAATGGATGGATGGATGGATAGGTGGACAGACAGATGAATGTCTACATGGATGGATGAGTGGATGGATGTGTGGGTAGATGGGCAGGTGAACAGAGTCTTTGGGCAGGTGGGATAGATGAATAAGCAGAGGAATGAATGGGTAAACTGATTACTATACAGGTGGGTAGACCTTAGGAACTTGCCAGAGCCTTGCATTGGCCACATACACATCCATATGGAATCTGCAATTCCCCAACATCAATTTCCCATCTGTGCAAGGTCCCCTGCCTTTCCTGCTATGAGGATCATGGGAGAGGATGGTGGGAAAGGCTCTGTGAATTTCCAGAGGTCAGCCATCTGAGTTGGCTCCCACCTCCCAGGCACTGGGTCCACAGAGTTCTGCCCTTTCCAAGGGTACAGTGAGTCTGGTTTGTCACTGTCACACTGGCTTTTCTGGTTGGGATTAAGGGAATGGTTGGTGAGTCACCTCTACATCATAAGCCTCTTGGGCAGGTGACAGTGATAGGTTCAGAGGTGTACAGACATGGGTTCAAATCCTAGCTCTGCCCTTCACAAGCTGTGTAACTTTGGGTGAGTCACCTCCCCTCACCAAGCCTCTCAGTTCTCAGCCCCTGCTTCCCTATCCCACGTCATTCCCTGAGCATCTGTCATGCCCACTGTTTGTCTCTCTGCTCTTCCATTCTTAAAAACTAGTGGGAAAGTTGAGTCCTGGGAAGGCTCCATCACAGACCAATGTCACACGGGTGAGGGTCAAAATTAAGACTGAAAGAGGCTGATCACCAATAGTTAGCAATGGGGAGCCAAAGAAGGTTCAGAAGAAGAAGCAAGGATGAGAAGAGTGGAGGGTCTGCTCACCCCACTTCCTGTTGGACCCTTGGTCTGCCATATGCTCTCTCAACCTCACTCCTGACTCCCTATTTCCTGGCAAGGTCTTCCCCCAAACCTACAAATCTAGCCCTAATTTGTTCTCACCTATGACTATCTTCACTCTACACAGAGGGAAACTGAGGCTCAGAGCAGTGAAGTGACTTGCCCAAGGTCTCAGATTTGCTGAGTGCTGGCATGGGGATAAGAACCCAGGTCTCTAGCGGCGATGTCCAGGCTCCTCCTCCCAGCCTCCAGCAGCTGCTGCAGCCCACAAGGTGAGCTAACCCTCACAAGTTCACTGAATGCTCTCTTGGGTTGTGGTCACCAGCCTGGGTGGGGGAGGGTGGGTATATCCAGTGCTTCCAGAGGACAGAGGGGCCCAGGCAGGCCTGACTGGCCCACAGTAAGGGCAGGGCTGGACTGACTGGACTTGTCCCAGTACCAAACCTTGCCAGCAAGGCCAAGGCTGAAACCACCCCAGGGGACAGGGCAGGGCACTTCCCCTTCCTGAGGCTCAGCTTCCTCCTCCAGAAAATCGAGATGATGATGATGGCTTCCTTGGCCTCCCAGAGGATGTGCCCAGGAAACTGAAGATAGTGATGGGACGTATGGGCAGGCACAGGGCCAGGGCCAGGAACTGGCACCAGTAGGGCTCCAGAGGCAGCACTGGCAGCAACTCTCCAGGGGACCTGGCTTACTGTGGCCCATCCTTAGACCCTGGATCCCCTCCTGCAAAATGGGGAGACCCCATATGCCTCAGTACTTTCAAGGGGCAAGCCAAGTACACAGAAGACGCACACTAAGTGTGGGCCCTCCCAGCATTATTCCAGGACATGACACCCCCTCGAGCAGCTAAGAGCAGAAGCACAAATCTCCAGCCAATGAAGAGCTAATGTGTCCCTGACCACCCTCAGAAGATACCCCAGTAGCTCCATGGGGCAGGAACCTGGCTGCCTTGCTCCTTGGTGCCCAGGACATGCCCAAGTGATCTCTGCCTCCTGCAACCTGGAGGGTGGGGGTGGACAACTGACCTCAGAGTCAGGCCACACTGCATGGCCAGGAGGGGTGGACATCCACCCTGTGGGCCCTGAGGTGAAACCAGGCCAAGAGGCTCTGGCCCTACCAGTTTGGAAGGCAGTTAGACCAGACACCGGGGAATTCTGTGGTAGTATTTTTATCTTGAGCACATCCTTTAGAGGGAGGACAGAAAGGGGACAGGGTGTCCTTGGCCCCAGGCCCCTGGCACCCTCTGCTAGGATTGCAGGGCCCCATCCCTCGGCTTTGTGGTGACACAGGAGCAGGTGGTACATGGGGTTCATGGGACTCCAGGTTCTCTTCCAACATGCTGTGACCTGAGACAGTCTCTATCCCTCTCCGGGCCTTCCTCTAGCAGTCTGTCTTCCCTGAGGGTCTGCCCAGTGTCAGATTCAGGGCTGGGTAGTGGTGACTTGCAGAGAAGCCAGCTGGTACCTGCCTTCATGGGATGCCCTGCCTAGATGGGCAGACAGCAAAGAAACCAGGAATCACAATGAAGCCACATCATAGCCCTTGGGAACCCAGAGAGAGGTGTCCAGCCTGGTTGGGAGGGGGTCAGGGAGGCTTACTAGGGGAGTGTTAGTGAGCCCAAGAGTGGAAAGAGGGAGTGGAGAGAACCCAGCCTGGTTTGGACCACAGCCCCAGGAAGGAGCCACAACACTTCAAATTGGCCTAGGGTGTCATGGAGACCCTTGGAGTCCTACAGACCTGGGAGCAGATCCCAGCTCTGTCCCTCACCACTGGGCCTGGGGAAGACTCTCTCTGTCTCTGAATTTCACTGCTCCTGTGTGCAAACCAATGGGGCAGTGGCCCACATCACCCTTCCAACTAGGCACTCACACCTACTAGGAGATTTAGGGCTAGGGGCAGGTAGAGAGACAGAACACATGTTGTGACCTAAGAACAGAGAAGGTGAATGTGTACAAAGTGCCTAGCTGGGGGCCAAGGTGATTCACTGACAGAGGCAAGAAATTGAGGCCTGAGAAGCCTTGGATGTCATAATAACAAGTTTAGAGTTGATCCCAAGAGCTATGGATTCTCAAAGGCCACAGGAGAGTCTGGAAATATAAGAGCTCTGGGGCATTATGCCCTGGACTCAGATTACGTCTCTGTTCCTTCCTCTGTGGCCTTAGGCAACTCACAGAACCTCCTGCATTCCATTTTTCTCACCTGTAAAATAAGACTAATAAAAGTACTCAACTTATGAAGTTGAGTTAGTACATGGCCATTGCCCAGCTGAGAACTTCCTGCCCCATCACACCTTGAAGGCTGGAGGGAGCTCAGAGCTCACCAGAGCCTGGGCTAGACCTCATCCAGGCGGGAAGAAGTGAGCAAATGCCCAAGGGAAGGGACCTCAGTTGGTAGAGGCAGTGCAGCTTGCTTCTCTTGCAGCTGTTTGTTCAAGCTTCAACTGAATTCCAGTCTCAGCATTTCCTGAGCACCTGGCATGTGCACAGGAGAGTGAGAACTCAAACTACAGAAACAGGAAGCAGCCTGGGACCAGAAAGCCCATCAAAGAAGACTGAGAAATGGCCAACATATTTGTGGCACTGCTTGTACAAACCTATCATAAATAGTATGTTAATTATAGGTATTTATTATAAAAAAGATTCATATATTCAATATATAAAGAGTTCTCACAAATCAACGAAAAAGAAGGATTGCAAGAAGAGCAAGCAGAGAGCTGAGGCTGGGCTCCCTACTGAGGATCACATGGCCCTTGAGATCTCAAGGACATCTACCTGCAGTGTGAACTCGCCGCTCACCATGGGAGCCTTTCTGTGCCCTTCAGGACTCAGTGCATTCTTTAAGCTCAAAGGATAACTCTTCCATGAAGCCACCGAGGTTCCCCCATCCCCTCTGCTACTCCTCCCCAAGCAGTGTGTTTCTTGGGCCCCTGGAACCAAGTGCCTGACTTCTGCTCACTGCATCAGAGAATGTTGCAGGCCAGATGACCCATGCCACTGTTGGATGAGACCAGTGGAGGACTTCCCAGAGGTCAGGGGACATCTCCCAGGAGATAGCACTTAAGACCTGAATGAGGACAGCACATGGGGACAGCAGACAAAGGCCCCAAGGCTGGCCTGTAACTTGTCAAAGGAAGGCAGAGGGATTGGACCTGGCCTTGCCAGGGAGAGAAGACAGAGCAGAGACAGCACAGATGGATGGCAGGATGAGAAGATGGTGGCTCAGGAAGGGAGAGGGCTGACCAAGGACACAAAGCCAGCTGGACAGAGGGGAATGCCTGGAGGTAACTGTCCATATCCCAGGAAAGGCACTTCAAAGAACTGCTTCCAACCCCTTCCCTAGGCACAT